TATTCTTCGGTATAGATGTGTTAAATTAACAATAACAAGCAAGCCAAATTGTTTATTTTTTGAACGAATTTGAGTTTGAACCAACTTTACGCTCTAAAAATCATTTAGACTATTTTTTTTATAGGGAAAATGACTTAAAAGCCCAACGAAGTTTCCAAACCATTCAAAAAACTCCAATTATGTTTTGTCTGTTCAAAAAAACCCAATGAACTTAACGTTTTGTCTAAAAAGTCCATCAAAGTTTCAAACCGTTCAGAAAATTCTAATATTGTTTTGTTTAAGTTCGTTGGTTTTTTTTTTAACAGTCAAAACATGATTGGAGTTTTTTAAACGTTTTGGAAACTTCGTTGGTCTAACAAGTCATTTTTCCGATACGGTAATAAGCCACGTCATCTGTTTCTCTTATTTGACTTTCGAGAAACTGTAACTTAGTTGGGTTTTTTAGATAAAATGTTAAGTTTGTTGGGTTTTTTTGAACACACAAAACATGATTGGGGTTTTTTAAACGGTTTGGAAACTTCGTTGGGTTTGTAAGTCATTTTCCCTTTTTTTTAATAAGATACACTACATAGCCCATAAATTTTGGGCTCCCTAGAGATGTGGGCCCTGAGCGGTTGCCTGTGTTGCCCACCTTCTGGACCGGCCTGATCATCACACACATGTACAATCATTCACCAACTACAGGTTAATATGTGTAAAAGTTAAATCTTATGAATTTGATCATGGAAAGCTCTAACGATAATCACCTTTAACCCATTTACGCGTTAGCTAGAGACCCAAGATCAAAACATACGTAAGTTATTCGTACGAACTGATCACATCCATCATTATAAGAAATACACAATTTGTCCAACTTATATAAATATGATACTTTGTATAAAATCTTTCGGGCTATAAAAAAATAAAGCCAAATAAATGAGCCAATTGCCCAATACGAGTGTAAATGAAAGTGAGAACAGCGAGCAGAAATTTCTGCGGGTGGGGACCTCTTCATCTAGTTTTCATTGGGTTGGGCACTTAGCGGTGAGTGGTGGTTGTCATAACTCATCTCACTACAATTGCTGGTCAGTTATTGGCCATCTTTTCTTATTTAGTTATTTAAAACGTGTAAAATAACAAATATTAGAAAAAGTTACAATAGCAGTTCGTATGGTTTATTAAACAATTAGACATTATTCGACACGTATAAGTTATAAATAGCTTAGCTTTTAGTTTATTGTGATGTAAGTTTGGTAAGATAATCAAAATTAGCAGCCTTATAACGGTATCACCTATATGTTTAAAACAGTATTTGACATAACTTGCGAAGAACATACCCCAATACAAGAAAAAAAATCAACCAAACGTATGTTGCATCAGTTTATATTTATTGGATTTTTCATTCTCGTTATATAACTAATAATAAGTAAGTTATTTAAATAATATATATGACATCAGATTTCAAATATAATATCGAAAACTTTTTACAAAGTCACCCTGGCGGCAGCAGGAAAATTCAAAATGTTCGAATGATTACATGCCCACTGAATAGAAACAATGTTCTTTTACATTTAGTAGTTCGATTTAAGAACAGGTGTCACGCAAGCATTCTACGTATAACCTTGTTCCTTATCATCTTTTCCTAACGAAAAACAAATTCACAAGAAATGAATACTTTATTTTGTCCATTCATGTTATCTCTTTTGATCAAATTCTTTTCTTTTTATTGCTAGAGCACTCCCTTCTTGAGTTCTTGTTGAGAAAAGGCATGCTTTAACTAAATTATTCTTTATAATGTTATTGGAAATTATACGATGATATTTTCACAAACAATGTTGAGTTGGTTCAATGAGAAATTTTTGAAAATACGCAACCAATTTAATGAGATAACTTAGTTGTATCCTCGTGATTTAAGAACAAAACAAATTGAAGCAAACAACTCTAATTGGTGTTACTGATTAGGGTTCACATATTTTTATGTGTTTTAAATCAATTTTAATGTTTTGATTATTCTGATGTTGTTATAAACATATGCTTTAAATGGCACAAAGGTGTGACATGAGGTAAGATAGGGCCTCAACCTTTTTATATATATATATATATATATATATATATATATATATATATATATATATATATATATATGACAAAATTACAAAAATATTTCGTGTGGTTGTCAACAAGTTGTGACTTGTGTCTAAAAAAGTTTGTTGTTGCATCAATGTTTCAATTTTAGATACATTATGTGATTTTTAGTGTAAGGTTTGTATTTTTGTATGATTTCGGTCTTTATCATATTTGAAATGATGAATATATCAATTATGAATACTTTTTTTTTTTTTTTAATTATTTTCTTACTATGTTAATTAAAAAAAAACAAAAAATAAATATCACGACCCACCTCACACTAACCCATCCACCCTCTTTCTCTCTTCTTTATTTTCGATCTGCATCTCTCTCTCTCTCTCTCTCTCTCTCTCTCTTCGTTATTCATGGACACCACTGTTTGCCGCACAACCTGTCGGGCCACCACCGTCATCAGACCATCACCACCGCTTGTCGGAACTACCTTAGAAAGTCTAAAAAAATCCACCCTCTTTTTCTCTTTTTCTCTCTCTCTCTCTCTCTCTCTCTCTCTCTATATATATATATATATATATATATATACAATACTAAAACACCATTACAACTCTAAGAACAACCGAACAGAAAGCCAATTGTAAAAATCCTAAAGTGACGTGGAAGAAACGAGACAAAAATGAGAGTAAGCTTTCGATGCAAAAATGAGATCTACCAAAAGTACACCTTCAACAACCATTATATATGTCGAGTTAATTTTCTGGTTCAAGTCCGGTGTAACTCGAACCAAACCCGGTAAAAGATCCGCGCTTCCATGTAAGAATATAAAAAACGAGTCGCAGTCGCTAAAGAAGTAAATAATGACAAAACAAACCCTACACTAAAAAACACTGACAAATATACTTTAATAATTTACCATTATTACCCTAACTATGAAAAATTATATCAATGTTAATCTTGCAATAATAAATGTTATTATTTTAACAATATGGCAGGATATTTTGTTTTGTTGGATTAATTGGTTTATTACAAGAGGAAATTTGGGATAATTTTAGTTCTATGAGCATTTTAGGAAACATTCATTTTATGTAGTTTTTGTGTTAGAATAGGAATCTAATTTTGTTAGTATAAACAAGGTTAATGTTTAGGATGTTTAAGTTAAAATTTTACAACAATAAAGTTCACAAAGTAATTTGTCGTTTTGTTTTTTGTTTTTCTTTGTTCAGTTCATACCTTGGGCACCAAGGTAATACCAAGTGGTATATCCACACTTTGGCACATTCGTTGAGTTCCTAATTCGACAACGCCTTTGTCAACTGTAGTTGTTCTGTCAAATTGAAGGTAAACCATAAGTTTGTTGATGCATTATATCAACAACTAGTAACAAAAAGTTAATAAAAATTCATAGTTTCACCCTCAATTCAAAATGGCATAAAAAAGAAATTAAAATAAAACTTGAAAAATAAACATTGATGCATGTCATACCTAACAACACCAACACAGGGATTTTTGGGACACAAGATACACGCCTTGGCGCATGGACACCACCATGGAACGCCTTTTGAATGTTGTTTGTTATAAAGATGGTAGACTTGTGTTTCTATGAAATATTAGTGTTTATATAAAACATGATTCAAAACAATAATATGATGTTTACAAGTATATACTGTTTTACCAAAAATACACCAAACATTTTACGTAAAATAACAAAGTTTCTTAATAAAAAAGTTTACATTTGATGAGAACGATATAAATATGACATTCGACTGAGCTTATCAAGGTGTTGTCAAGTTTCAATAATATCAGCCTCATAATGCTATAGTGTTTTCAATACCAGGAGTCTTAATAGTGTTTTTTTTTAAATAAGGTCATAATGGTTACAAAAAGAATTCTTCAATTGAATTTGGTCGTGGGCCTATATTTTTCATTTTACAGCAGGCTTTACAACTGCTCGGCCCAGTTAAAGATGGGTCATCCCTGCCGGAATGACGGTGGTGTCGGAATGGCCGACAACTATTTACACAGGTTAGAAAATCTGATAAATTTTTTATATATTTTAATAAGAAATTAAATATATTTTGTATTTATACTTCTATTATTAAATATATAATTAAATATGACACATGATAGGAATTTTACATTGAAATAAATAGAAATATAATTTTATATGATAGGATTTTTATAGGAATTTTATTTGGAAATAAATAGAAATATAATTTTATATGATAGGAATTTTATATGAAGATAATCAGAAATAAAATATAAAAGGATATTTAATTTTTGAGTAAATTACACGAATGGTTCTTATATTTTAGGGTAATTTATACGTTTGGCTCCTAACTTATCTTTTTTACTCGGAAGGTCACTATAGTTTCTTTTTGTTACGCGTTTCGTTCCTTTCTTATCTAAAATAACTATTTCGCCTTTGATTTTTCAATTTATTTAAATAAACATACCTCCAACCTCATCCCCTCACCTTACTTTATTTACCTCATAATTTTTTCTTATTTAAATAATAGATTTTTTAGATAAGACAGAAAACAGATACGTAACAAAAACAAATACTAAGAACTTTGCGAGGTAAAAAAAATAAGTTTATCACAAACCGTAGGGATCATTCGTGTAATTTACTCTTAAATTTTCTATTTTAATACTTTTCAATCACCAAAAAAAACTTATATTAATTACCACAAATTAACAATAAATACAAACACCTTCCAACATCATAACACGTATTCAAATCATAAATTTTCACTTAAACTGTAAAACCAGTAATCGAGTTGATAATTTGTCTATAAATTTTATTGATTTGTTATACTTTCTTGTTTTCTTCGTCTATAACTCGATCTTGTGATTCAAGAACATGGCTTTAGAAATTACATATGATGGCATGCCACAATCAAGATTTCCAACAGAGTCGAATCAAACCTCCAATTATTCAATCAATCCGATGAACAAAACAACGCAATCTGATCACGCAAATTCCGATCTTTCGGCCTCAAATCCCTCTTCACATAATTCATCCCCAACTCCACAGTATAAGCATCATACCCTTCCTCGCCACTCTTTCGCCACATCTCCTCCGCGAAACTCCGGTGAGCGTAATACGCCTCCGCCTCCACCACCGTAGAAACTCCACCATTTTCCGGCGTCAAAGTGATCGGAAGCCTCTCGTAATGGCCAAGGGTAATTCCTTCGAGTTCGTCCAAGCGTTGGAGACCAGAATCCGAGACGGAGTAGAGCTCTCCCCGGACACGGTGTCGACTTGATCCCGGGAGGTTGAGAAGGAAAGGGACGCCGTAAGGACCGATAACGAGCGGGAGGTTGTTGTTGGTGACATAAGAGCCGATGAAATCACAGTCGTTGTGGGAAATTAAGTCCTGCATTAAGAAATGATTAGCAAAACCTTGTTTTAGAGTGCCATAACAGAAGATTAGGGTTTTCTTTTGGTTGTGTGACATTCTTTAAGCTTTCAATTGGCAATGCTTGCAGAAACAGATGAAGAATGTGGGTTTTGTGTTTGTGGTTATGATTCCTCCATTAAACATTATCTGGTTTGTTTAGAGGTATCAATGTGAAATATATAGGCCCAAATAGCCCAACTTTTATATCTAACCAATATGGGCTAGAGCCCAATCTGCAACATGAAAGAGGTGCCTAAAACATGTTTTTAAACCGGTTCAAATCATTTCTAAACCGGTTTGATACAAAAAGATGTGAACCAATATAATTGTCTAATATGCTTTTAAATGGTTTTTCCTGACTTTATCTCTAAAGAGTTTCGATTATTCGGTTCTAATTTGGTTTTCAATGTGAAGAATTTGATCTCACTAAATCCAATCAAATCAAACCAGACCGAATTGGTCTCTAAAATGACCACTTTTAGTCTTTTTTTTTTTTTTTTTTTTTTTTTTTTTTTTTTGCTGCAATTTAGATTTGAGTCCCAATTAGATAATCTATCTAATCGATTTTGTTGTGGATTTCAAAATTTCCTTCATAATTGTTCAATGTGGAAATAGTTTAAAGACATATAAACAAGTATTAATTATGAAAAATATTATCATAATTAAATGTGAAATGCATTAATTATGAAGATTATTAATGAATTTTATATTTAATTATGATACTAATTTATATAATTAATGTATTTAACATTTAGTTATGGTAATAATTAGGTAAATATCCACGTATTGCGCAGAATAAAATTAAAACTTTTGGTAATCTTATGTTATTGAAAATATTTATATCATTTATATTAACTATAAAATAATAATTATTTCATTTAGTTTATATGAAATTATAATTAATTTGAAAAATAGATAAAATAATGCTTATTAAAATCAAATCATTTAATGGTCTTATGGTCTCTACTCATGTTTTACGTGTATATAACATTAGTTATATTTATCAACTATTTTAATTTATTACTGTTATGATTTACTAATTTTTTAAAAAAAAAATTGATGGTGTTTTAATTTCATAATGATGATTATTTAAATTATCTAAATTATCAACAACTGTTTGTAATCTAACATAATATAATTTCTAAGTTTCTATTATTTTTAACTATTATTATTATAAATTAATTTAAAAACAACTTAATTGAGTTTTAGTTATTATAAAATATAGTTTTCAGATACCTTTTAGCTAATTCAATTCAACGATTTAGATTTTTTTTCATTTATTATATTTAATGTTTTCCTTTTAACTATGTTAAAAATATATATATTGAATTTTTTACAACATTACTTAATATTTTACTTTAGGTTTTAAATTTTACACTAAATTTTTAAGTTTATTTGATATATTAATGTAGGTTATCTATTTAACAATATAATCAAATTAACAAATTAAGTATATCATATTGATAAGTCACAAAGACTTCTATATATGATAATGTTTACAACTACAAAAATATTTAAATTAATAAATTAAATATATTAAATGAAAATATGAAGAGTTGAGAGTTTCAAATGAATGTGGTGAAAGAAAAAATATTTCATTTATAATATAGTATGATATGATATGATTATGATTAATTAATACTTTTTATATGTGCCCTTAAGGCACATATTAGAAAATCCCTTTAAAATAAATAGAAATATATTTTGTTTGTTAAGATTATAGATTTTATCCATGTCAAAAAAAATCAAAATTACAAAATCTATCCCTTCATGACCCTTTGTTTTGGATTAGTTAATCGACTTCAAAAATTACACATGATTCTTTCATTCTTTGAATAAAAGATATATCGATATGATTATCTCATTATTGCTTGCAGAAAAGAATGTTTGTGGGTAAATTATTTGAAAAATAATTTTTAGGAATGAAAGTAATATTCTTATAGTTAAATAAGTCTATGTGTTAGATTTTTTTTTTTTTTTTTTTTTTTTTTTTTTTTTTTTGAGATGTTTCTTTTCATTTTGTTTAATTGTTGATGTTTCAAAATCAAAATGGACGTACATTATCATATGCTCATTCAATTAGAAATCTAGCAAACTAGATTTGAAAAAGACACCACCCATGTGATTTTGGTCGTAATTGACTAATCCGGTTCAACCTTCTTTTCCGAATCTTTGTTTTTTTTATTCTTTATAATTTTATATATTTTTTTATATAGTTATATATCAAAAGCAATGTCTAAGTTCGTTGTTTTGTATTTCAGATATTATTGTCTTGTCCATGTTTGATATTTATGTGTTAATCCAATGATATTTCTAGAGGGAAAAAGAAACAATAAAGGACCAAACATATGAAACTACGAAAGGAATTATAAGGCGTACTTAAGAGGTAAGAAATTACAATAAAGGTCAATTGAAGGACCGAACATGTAAAGTTTGAAATATGCCCAACCACACAAATCAGCTACAAGTGAGTTCTAGCAGTATGAGGTGTCAAAACACCACACAACTATAATTTATTATATCTTTTGAACTATATGATAATTTCAATTATAGCCTGTATATACATTCTTTCCGATACAATTGGTCGTGTTCAACTTAAAATTATTTTGTTTATTTTGAGACCTGGAAATTTGATATTTATCAAGTTTATAGAACATCGTAATTTACACTTATAATCAAACATGCATCAAAATATCTATAAATAATTTTCAGATTGTAATTTTCTCAATAAGTTGTTTTGAAAAGAAATTTCTAACACACATAAATTAGATTATTTTGAAAACTATACCATTTCTTTGGATGATAAAAGTTATGGTGTTAACATGGTTGATATATATATATATATATATATATATATTATATATATATAATATATATATATATATATCTATATATATATATATATATATATATATATATATATATATATATATATGAGAAATGATCATTTTGAGAACTCATAGTTTCTCAAGAACCCGAAAACTAAAAATGAAACGTTTGATCAATTGTTTGGATGGCTTAGATGATCGTTGGCAAAATTTATAAATATTACTAAATCCAGTGGCATAACATGTTTCTTTAAAATACTCACGGGGTATATTTGGTAGAAAAAAATGTTATATGCTAAAGATCGGTCAAACAAAAGATTTTCCATCAAACCCTTCGTCATTTTTACCACTGAACATTTTCTCTCAAGCCTTTCTCATTGATTGTTTCCCCAGAATCTAGCATCGTCGTTTGGAATCACGATCCGAACTCGGAATCCATGGCTTCCTCCACCATTGTCGATTATGAAGCTATTGCTTCTGATTCCCGGTGATTTTATGATATGAAAAAAAAATTATTAGTTAATGGAAAAATCCTCAAATTAGTCTCTTCTCTCTTTCT